ACAAACTATTTCAGATCAAACTTTTTCAATAAAAGTATCTAAAACCACGTAACTTAAATTATAGTTTTTTATGGCATCAAAAACAAATTTCAAATAACTATGTTTTTTAAAATTTTTACATAATACAAAGAGAAAACAATAGAACTGCTCAGAGTTGTTGGAAACTGATTAAGTAGTTTTTTAACATTAGTTTTCTGTTCCGATAGTCATTTCTAATCAACTTCTGCTGGGGAAAATAAAACTTTAGTTAACAGAATTTTTTGCGATTTTGGTTTTTGAGCAGTCATCAAACTAAATGATGTTGTACGCTATACAATTCTGTCATTGATTAAAGCAATAGGTTTTTAAGCCACAATTTTTAGTACCAATCGTTTCTCTACGTTTTTCACAATAATTTTTTCGGGTATCAACTTCTAAAAAAATACTACAATTTCAAAAATAGTGCTTTAACTCCGCTTGTGATAATTTGAGTAGTTCAAGTTTTTCTACTACCAAGTTTTAAAAGCCCATGTCTTGAAAAAAAAATCGTTTTCATGATAGATTAAAATCTCAAAGACTACTGCATTTGACTTTGAAACTCAAGCCAATGAGTTTCTATCAATGGGGCGTGTTGTTCCCAACGCAACTCCTACAAATGTTCTTTAAAGATTGAAAGGCATTTTTTCTGACCGTTAACTAAATCTTAAATGATAGCAATCGTAATAATGGTGATCTAATGATGCTCTCCGATACGATTCAGATATGTTTTTCAACTTCATATAATTCATTATGTATATAAATATTGTTTAAAACTAATTTATTTTTGATTTATTTCAATTTTTGAAAGATGGAGTTTTCGTTTTTGGGGTGGTTTGTTTCTCCGAACGAAATTGAGTTTTCAAGCAGCAATTTTTAACAAGTTTTTTTTGCACGATACAAGTTTGAACAACTTCTGTTGTCTTGAGTTCAAATCCGATTAAAAATTTTTAACGGCAAGGATTTTGATGATGGTTATGTGGGTTTAAATATTGCCCAATTGGGTTCTTCACGCTCAATATATTTTGTGCTAATGACGTCTAAAAGGAATTTTGATTTGTCTGAACAATTCGCTTCAAATTGAATTAAAGCGTGCCATCTGACCAATTTAAAATTCAAACTCTGCTAAATTTATTTCTGTATAATTTTTAAACCAATATGGTGATAGTTTTCTCAAAAAAAGTCTGAAAAATCATAGTATTTTTTTCAAAAATTTTACCTTTTTTTCAAAACTTCACCATTTTTCTTAAAACAAACAGTACGCCATATAACTTAAAAGACAGTCGGAAAATTCAAAGTTTTTTCCTGATACGAGCAGTTCGATTGTTACATGAGCGATACGCTTTTTTTCAACTCTTGCACAAAAATTTGCTTAATATGAACCAATTTATTAACCCGCAGCCTACAAAACCGCTTTTAGGACTAGGAATTAAAAAAAAAAACAGCTTGTATTTTCGCTGCTAAAAAAGCAAATTAGGGATGACATTAGCCAGTTTTTATATCGCAGAGGTTAACAAAAGTCTGAATTAGATTATTCTTAGAAAATTTGCCTTTTAAGTTAAAAACAAACTATTTCAGATCAAACTATTTCAATAATTGTATCTGAAACCACGTAACTTCAATTATAATTTTTTTTTGACATCAAAAACAACTTTCAAATAACTATGTTACTTAAAATTCTACATAATACAAAGAGAAAACATTAAAACTTCTCAGAGTTGTTGGAAAGCGCTTAAGTAGTTTTTTAATGTTAGTTTTCTGTTCCGATAGTCATTTCCAATCAAATTTTGCTGGGGAAAATGAAACTTTAGAAAACAGAATGTTTTGCGGGATTGGTTTGTGAGCAGTCAACAAACTAAATGTTATTGTACGCTATACAATTCTATCATTGATTAAAGCAATAGGTTTTTAAGCCACAATTTTTAGTACCAATCGTTTCTTTACGCTTTTCACAATATTTTTTTCGGGTATCAACTTCTAAAAAAAATACTACAATTTCAAAAATAGTGCTTTAACTCCGCTTGTGATAGTTTGAGTAGTTCAAGTTTTTCTACTACCAAGTTTTGGAAGGTCATATCTTGAAAAAAAAAGTTTTCATAACAGATTAAAATCTCAAAGACTACTGCATTTGAATTTGAAACTCAAGCCAATGAGTTTCTATCAATGGGGCGTGTTGTTCCCATCGCAATTCCTACAAATGTTCTTAAAAAGATTGAAAGACATTTTTTCTGACCGATAACTAAATTCTAAATGATAGCAATCGTATTAATGGTGGCCTAATGATGCTCTCCCATACGATTCAGGTATGTTTTTTAACTTCATATAATTTATTATGTATGTTAATATTGTTTAAAACTAATTTATTTTTAATTTATTTCAATTTTTGAAAGATGGAGTTTTCGTTTTTGGGGTGGTTTGTTTCTCCGAACGAAATTGAGTTTTCAAGCAGCAATTTTTGACAAGTTTTTTGCAGTATACAAGTTTAAACAACTTCTGTTGTCTTGAGTTCAAATCCGATTAAAAGTTTTTATCTGTGATGATTTTGATGATGGTTATGTGGGTTTCAATAATGCCCAATTGGGGTTCTTCACGCTCGATATATTTTGTGCTAATGACACCTAAAAAGAACTTTGATTCGTCTAAACAATTCGCTTCAAATTGAATTAAAACATGTCATCTGGCCAATTTAAAATTCAAATTCTGCTAAATTTATTTCTATATAATTTTTAAACCGTTTTGGTGATGGTTTTCTCAAAAAAAAATCTGAAAAAAAAAATTAGTATAAAAACGTAGCAGTGCGGTTGTTATATGAACGATACACTTCTTTTTCAATTCTTGCGCAAAAATTTGCTTAAAATGAACCAATTTATTAACAAACAGCTTGTTTTTTCGCTGCTAAAAAGCAAATTAAGGATGCCATTAGCTAGTTTTCATATCGTAGAGGTTAACAAATGTTTGAATTAGATTATTAATAGAAAATTTTATTTTTAAATTGAAAACAAACTATTTCAGATCAAATTTTTTCAATAAAAGTATTTAAAACCACGTAACTTCAATTATAGTTTTTTATGACATCAAAAACAACTTTCAATTAACTATGTTATTTAAAATTTTACATATTACAAAGAGAAAACAATAGAATTGCTCAGAGTTTTTGGAACCTGCTTAAGTAGTTTTTTTACTTTAGTTTTCTGTTCCGATAGTCATTTCTAATCAAATTTTGCTGGGGAAAATGAAAATTTAGCAAACAGAAATTTTTGCGGGAATAGTTTTTGAGCAGTCATCAAACTAAATCATGTTGTACGCTATACAATTCTGTCATTGATTAAAGCAATAGGTTTTAAGCCACAAATTTTTAGTACCAATCGTTTCTCTACGTTTTTTACAATATTTTTTTCGGCTATCAACTTCTAAAAAAATACTACAAATTCAAAAATAGTGCTTTAACTCCACTTGTGATAACTTGAATAGTTCAAGTTTTTCTACTACCAAGTTTTAGAAGGCCACTTTTTCATGATGCATTCAAAATTCAGTTTTTCATCTCCCTACATCGTCAGAGATCAATAGCTCAGTTTTTTTCCCTTAAGTAATTTCAATTCAGAGAAAAAACAATACAAACTTACATTGTTTTATCATTTTAATCTGAATACAACAATGTTTTAATCAAATGTTCTCCGAAAAGCAAATCATTTCTATTTTGGTTTCTTATTTCAATTATAGAAGCGTATGTTTATTTGAAATTTAATTTTTTCTAAAACTATTTTTAACTGAAAGCCGCTTAATTTGAACAATTGTCGGACTATCTTCCAAAAAACCGTTTAACATTTTTCAAGTGAATTTACAATTCTTAGAAATATTCAATTGATAATGACAAAAATCGAAAAGAAGCTAATTCATTGAAATAAGACAATAGCAAGTGAAAAAGTTATTTTTGCTTTCCTCGTTAAAGTTTGAAAAACGGAAATTTACGAGATTTAACTTTTCATTGCTGCTTGTTTTCGTTAAAAAAATTTCAGAAACTAAATAACAAAATTTTAGGAAGCAAAAAACTGTCAAAATTTGATCCTCGAAACATCAGTCGCAAATTTTTATGGGAAGAGACTCTAGGTATTTGATGTAGAAAAGTTTTGGACTGTCAGTGGACTTGCGAAAACTGACAATATGCTCGCGTCCATTCGGCATGCGAAGAATCTCGCAAGTATTGAATTCCTCGGTAGTAATAATTTACAGGGTAAAAAATTTTGCTATTTTATGCGAAAAAAAGTAATTCATTTTGAATGACATGAGAATTGAAAAGGTTTTTGTAACATGAGTTTTTTCTTATTATAGACGCATTTAAGTTTTGGTGGTTAAAAAAATAAATCACAAGAAATCATCTTTTGTATCAGCGCCATCTAGATTTTCACAATGTCTTTTATTGTTACTGATGTTTTGTGCGTAGTTGATATCTTTTTTTTTTCAGCCATTTTCGTAAATGGGCGGGCTTACTTGAAGCTGAAAGCTAATTAATAGTCGCAAATATAGGTCGACGATACTCCAAATATTCCCGCTGAATCAAGAATATGGCGTAATCATCATTTATCAATTATGTGCATTGTTCAAACTATCTTCACATACTGCAAAATTGTTACTGCAATAGATTTTGCGTTTTGTTCATACAGCCACAAGCCCATTTATCTATTTTTATCTCGACTTCAAGGTGAGGATGTTGTGAGAGAATTTTTTTGAGACTTGAAAATCGGTTATAAAATTTTTTTCAGAAAGATTACCGCAATAACTGCCATTCTTCTCATATCAAAGTTTTGATAGTATTTTCCCTTAAAGTTTCAAATATAAAATTGGTGATGAATTCTAATGATGAAAACTCATTCAGAATTGACTTTTATTCTGTTTATTCTCTTTACTGATATCCCTTTCGGGATTGGCAGTGATATTGATACCATTTATGCTAGATAACCCACTAAATTTTGTGGATCTTTATTTAGAGCAAACAACCAGAAATCAACATTTCGGACTGCTGAGTTTTGGGCAATGCATTTGATGTGGCGATTATAGACAGTGCCGAAGGAACCTTGGCGTAGTCAATTATCTTCCTTTTTGGGCAAACTGGGTCAAATATTTCGGTCAACCCCCTCCCCCAACCGACTAAATTTCACGCGATGATAGTCTCGAGTGGCACTGGAAAACGGAAGTGAGCTGGGTGATTAAAAACACAGAAAGTGTGGAAGATTTGCAAGCAGACAAATAAAAGCGCTGGACGATTAAAAAAAAACGATTTTGTTGCATCATGTTTCTTTCATCCTTTCTCGTTGGCGTGATGCTTTGCATGACAGGTAGTTAATGAACTTTTAACTACCCTCCCCCATGTTGCAAATAATAGGGAAATCACAAAACGTGCTGATTGTTACATGTTGAACTAAGCCCTTTCAACAGACATAGTCATAATGAGAAGTTAATTGCAGACAAAATTTTATCATTAGCATTACCTCAATTAGCATTATGTTGTTGTGTTGGCATAATTGAGGCAAAAATTTAACCATTAATATTTGGGTTGCATGGAAAAGCGGTCTTGTTGATATCCAGGTTGTTTCATATGCGAGTTTGTGGTCACTCAAAAATTAGGGTCTTGCTTACGTTTTCAAATTAATTTTTTCATGGAATTCACTAAATACCCCAAAATTTTAGGTTTTTGATTTATTATGGAAAATTAACAATAATTATAAGTTCCTTGTTAAAATGGATTTTTTGACGAGGAAACTGACACCTGGCGAAATACCCCAGTCTGAAAATTTGTACATCCATTTGCCTTAATGTTGCTAAAAGCTAAAATTGTCCTATATAATTACAGTACAATAAACTTGAGGTACGATGGTTTGAGGCCCATGATACGTGAAGGCCCATGATACGTGAAGGCCCATGATACGTGATCGTTGTTTAAATCAGGGGCGAATATATGGTTTTCTCGACGGGAACTTTTAAATTTAGAAAAATTAGAAAATTTAAAAAGTTTTGTCTACTTTTTTATGCCGGGCTAATTGATGTTCCGAGCTCTCTCCAAACACTAAAATACATTTATTTTGCCAAAAATTTCCGTTTATCTATCTTCTAGATAAATTTAAAAAACATGCATTTCGAACATGAAGTTTCTTGGTTTTTAGTTTTGACACAAAAATCGTGTTTGACACAAAAAATTTGTGTGTAAATAGGATCTTTATAGTATTTTGGGACCGCTCGGAAACTCAATTTGGTCGACCTAAAATAAACAAGACAAAATTTTCTAAAAAAAAATTGAAAATCCCCCCTCCCCCTGTCGAGAAAACCCTAAATCCGCCGTATAAAATTGCGCAATATGCGTTTTATTTTCAGCCCATGTTGATGGATACTTCCTTAGTGACTTGTGGGAATACACAAAATCCCCCTACGCAATGACTTCAAATCACGCCTCTTATCGTCCATCTTCATCTCCACTGACCTCTTCGAATGACCCAACCTCTTCCTGCTTGACCTCTCAGCAACCTCTTCTGGTGATGGGGGAGAACGGAGGTCAGGCTGAGGTGCCTTGTGTGTCCAGATGCAAAAATGCATACTACTCCCTTACTCCCAAAAACAGACCAAACTTCCGCTTCCACTGGTCCAGAGGTATATACTCGTAATGTTATATTATACAGCGCAGTGGCTAGTTTATGGTAGATGAGGAAACTGCTCATGTCAGGGAAAAAGCTTTTAGTTACTTTATTTTTAGCTCTTGTTAGATTGAACAAGTTAAAATAATGTTCAAAAAAATAGATCGTTAATTTTTGAAACAATACATGAAGCTTTTCCAAAACTAGTTTTTAGAATTCAAATTTTTTTGGCGATATGCCTTTTTTCATTTAAAATGAACGTTACTCGCTCGACACTGGACTAAAACTCAAAAATTTTAAACCAGTTTTTCTCGACACTGAGACAACTTTTTGAAAATTCGAGCTCACTGCCATCCTGGTTTTGCGTAGAGAACAAAAAAGAAAAAACTAAAACGCACTTGAATTTAAATCCATCCCCATTTTCAATGGTCGGAACAAATGTATAAATTAAACAAATATATAAATCTTTTTAATCATTTTTTCCTATTTTTGTTTATTTCTTGCTCAGGAAAAGTGTTTTAAAAGTCATTTTTTATATAAACTTTAATAAAAAATAATTCAAAATATAATACAAAATATAATATATACACACCAGCGGATTTAGGGGACGGACGCCCCCTTCAGGGATTCGACCCCATGCCGATCCAAAGGGTCCCCTTTTTATACTAATTTGAGATGACTAACATAAAAAAGTTCTAAATAAAACTAATTTTGAAAGAGGAACGCGCGCCAAAAAACTCGATTTTTGTCGTCAAATTTTTCCCAAAAATTTTTCCTTCAGGGATTCGACCCCATGCCGATCCAAAGGGTACCCTTTTTATACTAATTTGAAATGGTTTACATAAAAAAGTTCTAAATTTTTTGAAAATCCGCTCCTCCCTTGAAAAAATTCTAGATCCGCCCTGTATATAATTATTTATATATATAGAATTCAAATGTCGCATATATATATATATATATATATATATATATATATATATATATATATATATATGCATACATGTGTGTGTGTGTATAATTATTGACAGGGGCGGACCTTGGATTTTTTCGAGGGGGGAGCGGATTTTCGAAAATTTCTTCGGCCTTTTTTTTTAGTTCGACATCTTTATATTTATATGTATGGATCAGTGGCGTGCGCAGAAATTTTTCAAAGGGAGCGGTTTTTCGGAAAAAATTTTCTTGGGTCGACCAATTTAATTACCCGAACTCTCCAAAAACAATAAAAAGCATTTTTTGATCGCGTTTTTTTGGCGCCCGCTCCCCCTGAAAGTTAGTATATATTGGCGCCTTTAAAAAATTTTTGCGGTCAGTCGGCTAAAAATGGTTTTCTTGAAAAGTAATTTTCCTTGTAACAAACCAATTATGGCAAATAAGCCTCTTTTAACCAATTTGGAACGATTTCTAAGACGGATTAAATCTCCGCTTACGCGTCAATAGTGCGAAACATATCGCGCGTTAATTGTCCCAAATTTCCCAAAATGGCAATTTTTAAACCCCCGTAACTCTACGAAAAATGATCACAGGTGGAATATCTTTTCAAATTTCAGCTCAGGACAACAATACCTTTTGAATGATAAAAAATTCGTAAAAAATGGCTAGTTAAAAAGTCGAAACTTGTCTGAGGAAAAAAACCCATCCCGAGCACAAACATTCCGTTACTTTCGTTACGAAAATCGGAACAATAAAAAAACAGTTGTCTCACGTTTGGATAAGTGTCTATGTAGTAGGTCGTCTAGCGCTGTTAATTTTAGGCGTTCTCTTAAATAAATTTATGCCCGCAATGTGATTCCATGAATAATAATCCATTATATTAAATTTTCAGGGAGTATCGCCACATAATTTTGAATTAACTGATTATAATGGATAAAAAATCGGTTATAAACTTTTAAAGAGAAGATAATTATAATAAAAAATGAGGGATTATATTAGATTGTAATGGATTGTAATTGACTATAACTTTTTTGTAGCAGAAAAGCTTGGATTTTTCAGAATATTTCTGTATAAACTCAAAAAATGAGCCTTGCAAGAGCTAAATTGAGATAAATTTGGCTTGTAAAAACTGTTTTTATTGTTTTCTACTTGTTTACTTCACGATTAATTTTTAACATTGCCGTCTTATTTGGGGTATATCACCCACCATTCTTACTGCCTTCCCTTCCCCATAATTATCACTCCCCCCACTTACACACACGAACACACAATTATGGTTCCTTCCCTTAGAGTTTTGATTTTTGCTGCCTTTGAATTTGAACCCCACTCCACCGACCCCCTCACTCACCAATTTTTTCACTCAAGTACAAGGGTGTACTTTTAGCCTGTTTTTATCTATTATAATCAGTTAATTCAAAATATTGTGGAGATATACCCTGAAAATTTATTATAATGGATTATTATTCATGGAATCACATTGCGGGCATAAATTTGTTTAAGAGAACGCCTAAACTTAACAGCGCTAGACGACGTACTGAATAGACACTTATCCAAACGTGAGACAACTGTTTTTTTATTGTTCCGATTTTTGTAACGAAAGTAACGGAAGGTTTGTGGCTTTGAAGAGGGGCTTTGTTTTGTAATAGATATCGTTTCATCAAAATTATCGTTTCATCAAAATAAGTGGGATTAGGTTTAGAACTGGAGTAGGCCATAAGTACTGCAGAAAATGTTGCAAGTTTTTGCAGGTTATAATGCATTATTACGCCTGTGATTAGCAAGCTTTCTCAAGTCGGAATATAGACTTTGAGTCGGGTTAACAACTTGTTTGACAGAATCACTTGCATCACTTGGTATCTTTTTTCATAATGAATTCAATTTTCTTAACGTCTTTGGCACACTTAGACTGAAGGCAACGAACACGCATCTGACCGCAACATGTAATTTTTTAAACGGGAAATTTTACGTTTAAAAAAACATGTCTGCTTGGAATTTTTCTGTTTAAGTTTGTCGGCTTAGTTGCCGCATCTTAGAACTTTAATGCTCTGAGCAGTTTTCAATGTAGTTGCTTTGTAGGTCTTGATTTGCTCTGCAATTTGTAATTCTACCAGCCTTGACTTCGTAATTTTGGAGTTTTTACCTAAAAAATGATTTTGGCTTTGATTTTATTGACTTAGTCACCTGAATTTTTAGTTTAAAACTTTTCATGACAACAATTTTGTTTTCACTAAAAAACTGTTTTTTAATTTTCAATTATGTTTTTAATTTTCAACTGTTTTCGTGGAATGTGTTCCTGGACGTGTTTCTTCAAATAAACATCAATTCAGGCATCATTTTGATGTTTTTTGTGGTTTTTTTTGGAGAAATTATCCGTTTTTTTTGTATTAAATGGCTCTTTTATCTTTTCTTATTTGCTGACTTTCAATGCTATTTTCGTGGTATTGCAAGTGATGCAACGAACCACATCGCTTCTGTGTAATTCATTATAATGGATTTTAATGAATTAAAATCAATTAACTGTTCTAGAAAATAATGGGTTATAATGGACTAAAAACAATTGCGTGGTCCCGAAGTGTAATTTTAATTGACTTTAGTGGAAACGTTTTTGACCTCGAAAATTGATTATAATCAACTGTTATCCTTGAAACGTCATTGTGAGGTCATTTGCAAACTTTATGTGCCTCGAAAAGACGTGAAAAAACTGTCCAACTGAAAATTCAAAAAACTGTCTCCGAAGTTTCCGGTGACTCAAAAATGTTTTGATTTCATGTAGTTTTTGTTTCTACTTTACTTTCCAAAAAGTGGGGAATATACATACATGCTCGGGTGATTTATTTTCAACCAAACGACTTTCACAACCTTTTTGATTACTCAGGGGATCGATTCCTTGATTTAAACTAAAGTAACTTCTAAGAGTCTGGCTAAAATGCTCGTTTTATATTTCATACGTGGAGAATTATCCCGCACTACAAAGTCGTTTCAATTTTAATAGAGGCAATAAACTAATTGGTCTCAATAAAACCATGCACAACTCAAATTTTTTTCCGATCTTCGAAGAAAATGCCGAATATCTATGCTTGGTGTGCGTTTTTTTATTCAGCCAGTTTTCGACTTATTGGCCAAGCATTTTTAAAGGAATAGTTTTAAACCACTTGAAAGATATTGATGCCTTGAGCACCAATCTAGAAAAAAATTTTTATAACTGTGATCATGTTTCGCAATTTGACGGCGATTTGAAAATTGCTATTTTGGGCAAATTGGGACAATCAACGCGCGATATATCGTGTGGAGGTATGAAATGAAAAAAAAAATGTTTGTTTTTACTCAATTATTTTGTTAATTATTTAACCAAAACAAAAACGTTTTAATTGGCTTTAAGTGCAATCAGAACATTCAGTTTAAATTTTATGTTTTCGCCAATAACTAATTTACCAAAAACCTTTCGTGAACCAATTGAAAGGGCAGTCTGTACAGCAGTTTGTAATGATGCGAGCAGTCTTGTCTAGTATTTGATGGAGAGGTGTATCGACAGTTTTGACATTCTTCAGCTTAAATTTCATGTTTTTGCCAATAATTATTTTACCAAAAACCATTCGTGAACCAATTGAAAGGGCAGTTTGAACAACACTTTGTGCTGATACGAGCAGTCTTGTCTTGCATTTGATGGAGAAGTGTATCGATAATTTTGATATTCTTCAGTTTAAATTTCATGTTTTTGCCAAAAATCAATTTACCAAAAACCGCTCGTGAACCATTTCAAAGGGCAGTCTGAACAGCAGTTTGTGCTGATACGAGCAGTCTTGTCTTGTATTTGATGGAGAGGTGTATCGACAATTTTCATATTCTTCAGTTTAAGTTTCATATTTTTGCCAATAATCAATTTACCAAAAACCACTGGTGAAGCAATTGAAAGGGCAGTCTGAACAACAGTTTGTGCTGATATGAGCAGTCTTGTCTTGTATTTGATGGAGATGTGTATCGACAATTTTGATATTCTTCAGCCGGTGTTGCAAATAAAAATAGCGTCTACTAGAATCAATCAAAGCAGGCTATCGTTAGCATTAGTTTTCATAATTAGTTACACGT